CAGGCTTTTAAAACATGGATTTTCTGGAGATTGATGCTAATCAAGCCTTATTCCTCTGTATCACTAGAATAGGAAGAATTGTTCATTCATTCGCCTTGTTATGCCTTAAAAGGTATCTAGGTCCCCAATCAAAGTCTAATTCCACTGGTATGCGAAATAGTTCTAGTAAACTCAATATCTCTGCAATGTAAATCATAGGTAGGCGTTACAATGCTACAACAGATCTAGGAAATTATTGCTGATTCCTATAAAAAGCGTTTCTTTCAGTCGCTTATATAGGGCCTGGAGAGTAGATATTTAAATTATAAGGCATTGCCTAGTAGATCATAGAAAGGCTGATTTTTTAGAGAAAAATGTGATATGGATAGAGGGTACCAAACCTTTGTCATCCTGCCCAACTATTTTTAACCCGGTTTGGAGAAATACTACTGATAATCACGTAGTGAGAGCTAAATTTCGCAACCAGAATGGGGCTACCGATTCAGCTCTTCAATTTATAAACCGTTCGCTGCGAATCGATGCCCACTTTACAAGATATTTTGAAGAAAAATTCTTACTGGTAGTTCAATCGTCCTAAAATTGGACATCAACATATAAACAACTTTCTTAACGGAAAACCAACCTCAGTGTCGCTTCACATACTTATTTACTACCTCAGAGGCCGGAGAAGAGATGCAAGTCAGCAACGGCGAGCCGAGGCCAAAACAGCTATGGTAGGTTCCGTAAATACCATGCAAACCACGTACAATTCAGCTTGTTTCCCGTCTCAACAACAAGGCCATCTAAGGGATCTCTGGTTTGAGGAAGCTGGATAGTACAAAGTCCATAGCACATTTAGGAAAACCTTTAAAGTTCCAAGTATTCAACAGGGCGTTTACATTTCAAAGTCAAGTTACTAGTTACTAGCTTCTCTCAAGCTTGATTGGTCAGTATAAAGAATGTTTTGATATTGTCAAATATTAAAAAATTATTTAAACGGAAATGGTTTACCACTATGCGATACGGCAATCCATGGTAGCACCTAAACGGCAGCAGTTGATCGCATTTCTCAAAGTTAAACTACCAATGGAAGCTGAACGTAGAAACTCTTCATCATCCACCAAAGGTATTCACTAGACCTGGCACCAACCAAACACCACTTAAATCAAGCTTTTATATGCTCCAGAATACGTTAAGTTAAATTGAACTACCAGTAGTAATTGTTTTTTTGTTTTGCAAATTCCTCACTTACTTCGTTCTTCCAAGTTCTTGGCTTCTGCAAGCATATCCAATGTATCGTATAGATTAACCAGACCGATTTTTAGCTGAGATACAGGAGAATAATTTTTGGATTTAAAACAAAGACTTGGCATTTGAAGAATAAATAAATAAATCATGACATTTCAGTAAAAACCCAATAGGCGCTTGGCTAAACACATCTTTGTTCAGACGAATGGCTTTACTAAGATCCTATGCGAACGCGTTCGGTGGAAGCCAAATTTTATGCTTCATTATTTGGACAGCACATCTTTATTAACGGAAAGAATTACGTACACTCAATTACATAAACTGGCATTAATCCAATGGCATAAGTCACTTTGATAAAAATCATGGTAGTATTATCTCTTACGTCTTAATCGAAACTGCTTCCCCATTGCCCAAAAGGTGAAATGCACGAATTCAGGGATTACTCCCACAAAGGGCAAGGGATCTTATCGAATCTGAAATGTTCAAACAACTCTTTTATTCTCTGATCTGGGGTAGGAGGTGAGATGGCAGAAGGAAGAATTTGTGGCATAATTTTGTTGGCCCAACTTTCTACAGACCACATGTGCACTGATTTATGATAGTAGGCAGAGGCAAGTGACGGGATTGTAATTGTATTTTCCAAGAAAAGTTGATAAAAGTACAGGTGTCTGAGGAACTTGCTGAAAGGCACAGCATTCGAGCATGCATTTCCTTTCTCACCTAATCACTGCAGTCTACCTTGAAAAGCTCGTCTGAAGGACAAAGCAAAACAGTTTCCCCATTTTTTAAGTTTTGGGCCTTACTACATCATATTAGAGACGAAAATAGAGGATTTTATTCCGCATTTATCTTTAGAATAGACACCAGAGTAAACACACTTCTTGACGCATCACCACCTATTGACAGGAAATATTTGGGCTTTGGGGAGGTATAATTACTTAAGTGATTAAGTGGATTTAAATTGGGGGTGACACTGCTTGGGTAATATACTTAACGATTACCTTAACTGGTAGCTTTGTCATGTGATGGACGCATGCTCCTTTTGACAGATAATTCTTCTCCGATTTTGCTTCCACTTTTCCAGCACTTTCATGTGCTATTCTAGTTTATTTGATTTATCATTCCTAATTTAATCCTATAATATGTGTCACATATACACATATTGTGTAATCATAATTTAAAATACCCACAATCACATTTACTAGCTACAGGTGGACTCATTTTTCCGCCGGAAGCGCGATTGCAGATGCCCACGTTAGCACTGCCCGGATTGTTCTAGAATTTTCATGGCACATCAAGATGATTTTCGAGATCATTACTGTGTGCCTTCATTTGCATATGCTTCCGTCAATTGCACCAAAACATACGTGTCAAAGTCTTGTCATGTTTAATAACTTCCAGAATGATGTTCTAGTTAAGCATTCTTTCAGATGAAATTTGGATTTAAGTCGCTCTTTAGTGTCGGTAAATGTGCACTCCGTTTCAAAGATTAGGCCTGGTAAATTGCCCCTGAGATATTTATTTAAGCATATTGTATTGAAAGAAGCGAATCCAAACCAAAATCTTGAGAACGGATCATGACTAAAGTGCCCCTCCATGCAATTGTTAAAACTTAAATGGGCACTTGGATATCCTAATACTAAAAAACAGTAAGATTTGATTTTTAAAAATGAATTTTATGCTCACTAATAGCCACTTGCAAGTCCCCACTTCCCACCACTTTAGTGCAAAAAGGGACCACTTCAAGAGGGCACCCGTTGCACTTTTTTTGCTGCAATACGGAATAAAAAGTGGCACATTTAACAGGATCTTAGACGCAGATTTACCATCCATCTACCCCATTTGATAAGATTTTAGTATTAAACACACTGGGCTAAAGTTTGGATTTATCTTACTTTTTCAGCAGAGATGCATTGGAAATTGAGGAGCCCACCTTCAGGAACAAGAACTTAACGGTGGAAAAAAAAAACTGCAAATTGCAAGATTTGTATCTAAGGTATTAACATTTTCGTCTCTAGAAAAGTTCCCATATTTGCTGTCCACTTTTCCCACTTGACTGGGAAAGTCACACACATAAGGCACATTTGATTGGACGGAAATAAAAAAATAACCATTTATGCCACATTGGGACAGTAAAACACGTCCTCTGGGACCTTGTTAACGAGGGTATTAATGAGTGAGGCTTCACTGAATTTACAGCTTTTTCGACTCAGAGCATGCATTAATTGACTCCAAAGTGTAATGCAAATTCGTCCAAGAAAGCGTTCATGAGGAGTGAAAACAACTAGACCTTTATTGTCGGCTACGCTCACCGCCTGATTAGGCGATTGTCACTTCTGTTGTGACTGCACCCTTTGCGTCATTTGGTGCTGGGTCAATCACATAAAATGGGGAAAAAACTGAGGAACTTGAATGGCTTATTGAAGATCAGCAGGAGAGACCAAGTGTCCGCTCACTCACCAGAGTGGTGAGCATGGACAAGTCAAACGAAATTTTGGCATCACCTCTATGGTGGGAAACCTTGGAAAGAGTCACTCGAAGTGTTTTGATAAAACGGCTAAAAAATCTATCTTGCGTCAGCATTGAATATCAAACAAGTGCATGAACAAAACTCTTTGGCAAAGAATTATAACCGTTCATTGTTCTTTAGCACAAATTTTCGGGATCAAATCTAGGCCTGAGAGTCTTTGCTTCGATGAATTCGTGGCGGATCTAGTGCAGGGAATTGATCAACGCCTAGCTCTCCCAAAAATAAGTTGACATGAAATTGTTGTTCCCATGTAAATAAAAGTACAAATTGCGGCGAATTTATTCAAAATATGTCCATGCATGAAGGCAGTAAATCCAGCATCGGAGTCAAGATTGATGAGTCCTCAATTAAAGCGCTTTATTGACCGCAAACATCATTCAGCATCATTTTAAAAAACAACGGTGAGTAAAAGGACAAAATAAATAGCTTTTATGAAAAATGAAACCATTACAACTGCAGGCATCATATTCCACATAGGTAATTATTACGGAAACAATGGACTCATACTTATTCTTCCTCTCTGAGTAAACAAAAAAAGCTTGTAAGGAATGCATATGAGTGAGCAATAAATAAGGAACAAACGCTCAAGCTATAAGTTCGGAGAAATCGTTTAACATTGCTTGCTGCTTCAGATGGCCTCATGCACACACTTCCCTACAGCCGTGTTAATAAAGCCTGGCAGATTGATAAAATGTCCGGTGGGCTGCAACAAGCCACAACCTGTCGAGAGCGCAGAATTTATACAGGAATGAGCGTCTGTGTACGAGGGCAGTCCGGCGGCGGCAGTTGCCGTATCGACATGCACTCACGCGCGCGCATCTGCATGCTGCACTGAGTGTCGCATGAACCGAACCATATCGGGCGGGCGCAGCTGATTGGTTAGCCCGCCAGCCAGTGAGTAACCTGGTCAGCCAATTCGCTCGCACCCTCATACCTCAAAATTGAACGAAACGTGTGCGTCCGAGGCTGCGCACGCACGCATGCACAACGCGTGCATTCACGTCCGAGTGCAGCAAAATTTCGCTCTAAAATGAGTCTGTGTGAGTGAGTGAGTGAGACAGTAAGGGAACAAACGCACGAACGCTGTGAACGTGTTTTTCGTGAGCGTGAGCTTGTATGCCTCGGAGGCAGAGTACTTCCCTCGTTATCGTCATTAACATCGCCGACAGACACTGCCACGACCACCGTGCCATCGTTGCACTGTCGACTCCACCAAAGAGGATGTATTTAAAGCTACACCAGTATGACTAGGATTGTTGCATCTGGGGAGGAATGCGCTGGCAGCAGAAGCCCCATCGACTGCGGTGGTAGTAAAGTTGGTGGTGGGGACGGCTACGGTAGCCCCAAGTCGGGCATCACTTCGTTCGGAGTTATCGCGGCCTCTGCAATGCATGGAAAGATGCGGTGCTGTGACACCTCACAAACTTCCCTAAACTTCCACCCCTCCATCTACACCCAACGCCCGGAGAAGACAACCCCCAATCCCGAAAGTGATCCTGAAGCTCAGCCCATCGGTTCGGGGAATAAATTGCTGTTTATCTTTTCCGAAAAGAACGTCATTCGGAAGTACGCGCGAATTATAATTGACTGGGGATATCCTTTTTCATGTCTACTGAGTAAAGGGGAGTTTGAGGTTTCTCAATGTTTTATCAGCCAACCACAGAATACCCTATGAACTCACGTTTCGCAAAAACTTTACCGTTTTTATGCCCTAATATTGGTGAGTCAAGAAAGTCAGACAGTGGAGTTTTCCTGTAGCTAGAACTCCTTGCACGAAAGACGACTATAAGCATTACACCAACTATCTCCGCATCCACTCGCTAATCAGGCGGAAAATGGCTCCTCTCGAGTCATTACAAATGATTATGCATATTTTGTTAGTAAATTTTTGACCATAAATAATGCCAACTTTGATGAAAACGTGTTGGATTACCTACGCGCAGAAATCCGGTGCCTAGAAAGCGGTTGGTTGTTTTTTTCGCCTGAAGACAGCATAGTCTTAAGAGCCGCTAATGACTCCAAATATTCCGGTCAAGCAGAAGCCTATGGGCTTCCCCTCTGCGGACCTCAAGAAGTCGAAGGTTGTTTGCGCACCGAGCGGTTTTTACTGTGTAACGCAACGAGTTTCTGGCATAATGTAGTACGCTTTTTGCACTAAAACGCTTTCAAATGCCGTCAAGTCAGCCTTTTGTTGGCCGGATTGAGACTTCCAATTTGTTCGCTTTTTACTTTCGAATCGAATGATTAACATGGCAAACTTTGTACGATAAACTTAGAAAATTTGACTTTTGACTGAGGAGTACTATTTACAAGACGTGTAGCAGCAATTCTTGAATTATTTTTTTATTTTTCCTGTTATGAGTTCTTCAATTGGATAAATTTACCATCCAAATTGGCCTGAGAGAGGCGTACAAGTTTGTAAAATAGTGTCAAATTTGATCACCCTTCCATAAACTAACACTAGGATGCATTTAGAAGACTAATTTGCTTTCCTGTTAGTTCCACAAGACCAAATAGTATTTGCATTCCTTGTGACATTGGTTAGTTCTTAAACGACGTATCCTATGTCTGCAATAGTTAGTAAACCGAATTTTGGCTCAAAATCTGAAAATGCAATAGGCTTGTTGTAAACACTTTTTGCAACTCCTTGGTTTGTGTAAAATGGAACACATTATCATGATCGACTGTAAAATAAGAAAGGTAGCTGAAGATTCGTTGCAGTAATCGGTGGCTCAAGCCAGGGCTGTTTAATTCCCATCATAACCATTTATTATACCCTTCACATTCATAGAACATAAAACAGTATCTGTGTGAATGGAAATGAGCTAACACAAATAGTCCTTTTTTTCATCCCTAGAGCATGTAAAATTCACCAGTTTTCAACCCGGTTCACTGTTTCCTTAATAGTACGATTTCGTGTGTTTGTCTCGGATTTAAATTGCGAAAAGTGTTCGCCAAAATTTGTTAGAATTTAAGTCTTTCTTGCTAAAGTATTACATCATAATGTACAAAAGGCTATCCACGAACTTCAATGTAATGTACTAGTACACCCATTAGCATTTGAATGAAAATTTGATATTCACACACGTAAGAAAAATTTGGCACCCACTGCGTTTGAATTTGACAAAAGATGGGCTATCTCGCCCATTCAACTATGCTCCACATCGCAATTTTCCCTACCAAACTAATGGGGCACTCAACAACGCTCCCAAGTGCTCGTTGTATTCTATCGAACGAGGAAAATATCCTTAACCACCTTTTTCTTCTGGTCCACGCCCTTCGAGTATATGGTTTTGCTCACAATCACCGCCAACTGCATTGTTCTCGCAATGGAGCGTCACTACCCTTCTGGTGACAAGTCAGCTCTTAGTGAAAGTCTCGTGAGTTGAAGCCGCGGATTTTGTACATTTTCAAGTACTTAACGACAAATCCAAGTAGGTTTCTAATTCTCTGTAACATACAACCGGATTGCTACATTCTTCACATGCGCTTCACCAAATACACTTTTCTTAGTCGAATCGGGATCATAAATATTTTACCCTTACTTCTAGGAGCAAACAGAGAAGTACTTTCTCGGAATCTTCTGTGTGGAGGCCTTGCTCAAAATTGCCGCTTTAGGATTCGTACTCAATGAAGGTGCCTACCTACGAAGTATCTGGAACATAATCGACTTCATAGTCGTGGCGACCGGGTAAGTAACTTTTTAGTACATGATTCTGGATTTTACTCATTCTCTCGCTCCATGTCCTTATTCACAATTTAGGACGTTGCTTCAAGGTCATTAGGAGGGATGTTAGTAATCCACCACTGTCATTAAGGTAATAGGAGTAATTGCAGGTTGCTCGCTTTACTGAATGCCCACTGTGATTCACCACTAACGGCCTACTTTAAATGTTTTCATGGCGCTCTGTTGCTCTTAAAATCACCTTTATTAACCATGATGGAGTTCCTCAATTTGAGACAAGTCACTTCCGACAACCAACTGGATGGTTCACAGAGTCATGATTGAATTTGAATAGGATACATCACTGCGTTTTTTAACGTTTGTTTAATTCACATCGACCCATCTAAGCTTAAATGAGATGTTTTCATCTTTCCATTTCAGTTTGCTGGCGTACATTCTGCCCAACCTTAATCAACCAGCACTTCGCGCTCTGCGGGTGCTGCGGCCGATCAAACTGGTCACTGGATTCGAGAGTTAGTTTCGTATTCACCTTGCATCTATCGTTCACTCATTCCTCCCTCAAGATCATCTATACCTCTTTACCCTTTTGTTGGTTACAGGTCTGCAGATTGTGCTCAAGTCTATATTTAAAGCAATGGCACCTCTTCTTCAAATAGGTCTTCTGCTTCTTTTTGCAATCACCATCTTCGCCATTGTTGGATTGGAATTCTATTCTGGCGCCTTCCATATGACCTGCTTCGATGAACGTGAGTGGACTATTCTTCCTTCTGTTGAGATCCTGGAGACGAAAAAGTAAGGGCCACCATGTAATGCTTTTGGCTAGAGGAAATTTGTTTAGCTCAACTAATGCGTCCCATGTCTGAGCAAGAACTTATTTTAGCCGACTCATTTATTGAAGAAACTTGTGTAGATTTCCTAGCTGCTTTCTGCACTGATTTAATTTACAGGACTATTTTTGGATGCCTCCTCCCCCTTTCCTTCAGAAAGATACTCCAAGGCTCGTGAAAATGATTATAGAAATTCCATGTGATTTGAGACCAAGAGGAAGGGGCTCCTGTTTTAGTAAGAATTTCGGAACAACTTAATTTCATTGAAAGAATGACGGCCGAGTCAAAGCAATATGACAATTATCTTTCACGACGAAGAATAAGGTGTTAGACAATAAATTACTTCAATCTTGGAGCAAAATGGTAGTCCTGTTCAGTTTTCCTAAAATATAGATTACGAAAATGACATCGCGGAGAATTACTTGAGCAACCGAAAGTGGAAGCAAGAATCAGGTAATTCTACTTAACTGGACAGAATGATTTGAAAGTAGGTGGTTTGCAACATGCGGTTTTTTTATTTAATCGAACACCTTCTAGCCCATGTGGAAAATTTTACCGACTGAAATGCAGTTACTGCTTAAAGGGTGTCATTTAGGAAGCGTAGTGTCTACCTTGTAATTGCCAGGTCTTGTCAGCCCGCCTGTCTCCTTCCGCTCCGTAGGCGCATGGCTCATGTGGTCGTGCGATCGAAAAAGGTCACGTCACTCGACTGGATTCCCTTGAAAGCTCGTTGAGGCTCAAAGCAATTGTCGCTAATTGATCACACACGTCCCCGATGCGAAGTCATTGAAACAAAACTGCTCAAAACTTTTTCGTTTCCACTTCAACACAGTTGCACCGTATGACGAACAGGATCATGCTTGACCAAAAGGACCGTTTGTGAGGAATTTTTAGGCCTCGGGGTTTTGAGTGAAGAAGCCTAAATTTACCGAGCTCTTTGTTTAAATATGTGTTTCCTAATAGAGTGGTGGGAAGAAATTGAATGCAAACAAGTGGGCTTGGCGACAATACATGTTTGTGTTCTGGGGGCGTGCGTCAGCCAGAGTTGAATACGATCGATGCGCAAAATTATTGCTAAGGTATTAGAATACTACAAGATACTTTTGCACTAAATAAGTAATTTGTGAGACTTATTGTGTCTTTTTGACGGATTCCTTTCATCTGTTCATACTACCTTGGCCCATGCCTCAGATATTTCAACAACGAAATTTGGCAACTCAATCGACAGTGCAAAATGTAGTACATGGTCAATGGTAGAAATAGGCATAATTTATGTAATTTGTTAATTACTACACAACAAAAATTGAGCACTTTTATGTTTCACAAGTGATCATCAAATCACTGAAATTCCGAGGAAATATCACAAATTGTCTGTTTGCATTGTTATTCCATGTCTCAGTTGTCGTCTAGTCTAAGCCACCCAATATTTCCACAAATTCTTATCAAAATCTCTAAAATTGTTTTATTTTGCTAGCCTTTTATGGCTAATCTGAGCCTCAATAGAAATGAATTAAACTTACCGTAACCATGGTAATTTGAAATACAGAGCCAAAATTAGAAACTTTTGGTTTGATAGTTAAAGCATCACTACATTATTATTGATATGTGAAGCTCTAATCTTGCGTCCTTCTTACTTGAAACCACCAGGATTTATTTACTAGGTCGTAAAAGGAATCGCTTGTCTACTCATTTGTAGACACACTAATCCGACAAACGACGGCGATGTATTTTATCCTCACTTTTAAGATGTTTGCTGACTTGGGCAAAATTCACCCACAAAATATGTTGTAGCCCATTTATTTTGCGTAAAAGCAAGGCTGTATTCAGAAGCTGTTTCGTATACTGCACGGAATCCTGTTACAAATTAAACAGCCTCCTCTATTTTCAAAGTAATGTGTCCTTTCTTCCACCAGAAAACGCTAAGACCTCAACATTCGGTGGAAGATTGTTGCATACGTTAGTGTGAAAAACGAAAGGCAACCTTGTATGGTACTGTAGTGCGTCATGTCACCTTTGACTTCTCAATTGTGAACCTGACTTTTCACTCAGGTGAGATCAGGAAAACAGAACTGCGTCTCAATGCCAATAGTTACTTAGATGATCTGTTGTCTATTTATTTATTTACTCAAATGTGAACCGATTACGCCTTCTAGAACAATTTAAACAAATGAAACAATTTTTTCTGTTTCCTATAATGAATTTATTTATGATCGTGCGGTCAGGCATTGTAAACAGTGAACCCGACACCATCAATCTCAGATAGTGTCTTGTGTTCACCGTACTGCCGCACTGTTGAATGTAATCTCTTAATTTTAGCACAAAAGCGAAACTGTTCTGTATGTGACAATAGGGAGAACTATGCCTTTTTTGATCTTAAGTCACAAATAATAAAAAAGCGAAATAAAGTTGGACAAAATAATAAATGTGACTTTTGGCCGTAGGATATAAGGGTCGAAGAGTCATTTGTGAGAGAGACTATCGTAAGTCAATGGGTGCTGTTCTTACTAAGTATTAAGTTGTTTGAAATCTGAGTCTAATCGAACACAAAGGTTAGCATTAGTTGGAAGAAGAACTCGCATTTCGACTACTAGGCGCTTGCTTGGGAGACTTCTCTTGAGCAAATTAATTCTGTTTTTCTTTTGATACCTTTTTGAATAAGGATGAAATTTCCCAAAAGTAGAAGAATGAATTCCTGATGAAACTTGATAAAGTATTGCTCATTGCGATACTTCCTAAATTATCGCTCATGAATGGATAAACCTTTCGATTGTGACGAGTAGTGCGCCAATTTTTCACAGCTTTTTACCCACTCCCCATAGTACGTCATCCTGTGAGGCATGATTTTTAAAGACTGCATTAAAGCATAATTTTATATAGCTAAAAGAACAACATTTGCTCGTTGCAACCGATCGGCAAAGTAGTCCTTTTAACTTATGATATAACATTTTGTATTCTTCTAGCTAGCCTTTTATTAAAAATGCCACTCAAATGGCGATTTGTCGTTTGTTCGGATCTTTATAATTTGTACGAACGAAATTTTATTCTAAAAATAAACTAAGAAGATTTGACTTGTCGGACTTTCGTTAAAACTTTTAAAGGTGCCGATGTAAAATATGGAAATGGACTGAAATCCATATTACAACAAATATGACTTACAAAAATCAGACATGATTTTAGCGGATAGCAGAAAGCATTCCAAATAGTCGAAAAGTTGGAATAAAATTTCTCTCGAATTTGCTGCAAAGTTTAACTACGTCCACTCTTACTCAATGTAAATTAGCAAGATTTATAAAAGATCTGTATCAAATGTCAGGCAACCCCGACGTTCTCCCCGACTCTATCCCAAACAGTAAGTCGCTCGTGCCCTGCAACATTGGTAACGAGAGCTCCTCGAAGGGCTTCTTCAACGCTGCACATGGCTCCTTTCGCTGCCCCGCTGGGTATGTCTGCAAAGGTTACTGGGAGGGTCCCAATTTCGGCATCACCAGCTTTGACAACATTGGCTATGCCATGCTGACCGTCTTCCAGTGCATCACCATGGAAGGCTGGACGGATATCATGTACATGGTGAGTAGCACCTTCTTTTTAGACGTAATTACATTAATTCAATCTTTTTTTTAGACTTTTGATGCCGTTGGCGACAGATTTAGCGCCTTCTACTTCAGCCCCCTTATTATCCTCGGCTCCTTCTTCATGCTCAATCTGATTCTCGGTGTCCTAAGCGGGTGAGTGTGCAATTTCTTTCCTGATTAGCAAAAACACCCCCTAGGTCTCCAACATTGATAATGTTTCATGAACTGGTTGGATCGTCTATTGAATTCCTCTTCTGATAGCCTGGACCATTTTTCTGTGAATTTTCTTATCCTTATTTAGAGGAATGGTACTCACTTCCCATGTTTTCGTAATGCTTAAAAAAGCAGAAAACCAAACCAATTCACTTTCTTCTTTTTGCGATTTTAAACTTCTTATTAATTGAAAACACATAGACGCTGATAAAATTTCATTTATTACAGGCCGATTTATTAGGAAATAACCAAATGTCTGGGCATCATGGGTTTGTTAATTTTACACAGACTTTGACTGTGGTCCAAATCATCACGACATCGTTGTTTTTCAGACCTAACATATTCCACTACCACCTACCCACAGGCCTGGAAATCCTTTTTTAAATCTAGAGAATTTGCCAAAGAAAAGGAGAGAGTGGAAAAACGGAGAGCATTTCTGAAACTGCGAAGACAGCAGCAAACAGAAAAGGAGTTTGGTGGTTACATGGACTGGATTCAACATGCAGGTAAGATGGCGACACCTTTGCTTAGCTGATCCCATGTAATTCATAATAATACATTTCAATCCATAGGTGAATAAGCTGTTTAGTCAGACAGGAGAATAGAAATTAACACTTCGAGTTGGTGTGAGGATGTCTTTCTGGTTCAATTTCACGCTTTGTTACCATACTTTTAGGAATGTGTCAAATTTAAAACATTGATGTTTTAGGACGGCGTAATTAGAGGCAAAAGCTAATGACGTGATTAGTTTTGGCTAGGTAATTTCACTCTCCTTCTTTTTCTTCTTAACACTAGTACTGCAAAAATGTTCATCAAATTTATCTATAAGTAAAAAATATACCTTTAAGTGGTACACTATTAACTAAAACGGGAAGTTGGAGATATATACACGGTGTTCGGAATGGGTCAATGAATTCACAGAAAAATTCCAAGAAACGTCACTATGCCTCGCTCCGTGTCTCAAGCTTGGATAATGCGGGTTTAAGTCGTAAATCATCTTTTTTTGAGTTTGAAGAGATGGGGATGCTGAAAAACGGTAACAGCGGAACGCAGGTATTTCTTAACACTGCTATGCAGCAGAGATTGTGGATGAGATGTAGCCAAGAGTTGCCTTGTAAAAGGCCACTATTTATCTTGAACAGCTCAGATCAGCACGAGTGAATTTGTCACCCTTTATTAGGAGATGGTTAATATCAGGGATGTGCTTATTCGTGATATAAGGAAAAGTTAATATTTGAAACAACTCTACAACTAATAAATGAATAGTAAGTTACATCGGTTTACAAAGGGACTCAACCAAAAAAGCTATGTTCAAAGGAATTCCCAAAAAAGGTAGGGGAAAAGGCGCACATTACCATTGTAGAAAGATCATGGTTAATGCTTTGAAGAAATAAAACAAAAATTTAGTGGAAATATTGGAATTCGGTCTAGACACTTAGCATTAGGTGGTTTAAAAAGTCCGCGTGGTTTTCGATATGGCATAAAATAATGGCTTGATGTAATATGCAGGGGCTTGTCAAATGCATTTGGTTCTCTTCACTCTT